CGCTTTCTAAAAGGACTACTGTTATCATTTTGTGTTACGATTATTATTATATAATAATTCATCGTAATCGCAAATAAAGAAAGGAGGACGAAGGGACACTCCTGTCCCGCTGTGAAACTGAGCCATTTGCTCCTGACGATTCCACAAGCAAAAGCCGACCAGGCTGCGCGCGAATGCAACAAAGTAACAACGGTCGGTGAAGCATCTTCGAAAAAAATCAGCTCGCAGCAATGACAGTGTGCGCGAAATTTGACGAGTGCCCCGGGCGAGAATACGTTTTCCGTGTGCGTGCGTACGCGTGCGGGCGAATAGACGAGCACTCGAGCGTACGACGGCGATTCATTCTGCAAATCGGTTCGCAACTGCCAGCTCACCTGGAAACTGAAAGAGGAGAACACGCGGCGTCGCAGCGCACAAATATTTGGACGCGCCTTTCGCCGGCTTTCACGGCAGCCGGTCGTTCTCGCTTAGCTTCGAACACGCACAATAACGCACACGCAATTACATCGATATAATTCCGGCTTGTTTATGTCGATTGTGTAATGCCCCTTGTACAATCCAGCATTGTTGATCGCAGGTCGATCGCATGCGCGCCGTCGCGTGCGCGCTCTCTTGCGAGTCCGACGTTAATTGTCCCGCCAACAGCGGCGCGGAGTTTCGCGCTCGGGTACAATGGAGAAACGAAAAAAAAAAAAGACTGATCGAGGACGCGCTCCTGACGGCAGATTACCTGGTGGAGTGTGCGGCGAATCGTTCGATTTACGCTCACTCGATCGCCGGGCGAGTTTGCGAGTGTGTGTTTATTCCAGACTTAAACGTAGCGGCTTAATACGCTGGTGTAGCTACAATTGTCATTTTATTTGATATTTCGTTTCCTGCTTTATTTGATATTTCAATATTTCGTTACGTTGTGTGTGTGTCGTTCAGCACGCGCGCCGCGCCGGCCCGGACGGCGCGTTTAAAGGGCCCGGTCGACCGGAATATAAATCCGAAATCGACGAACATGATTATTACGTTAACGTTGTGGCGAGCGTTACATCGCGGCTATGATATAACATCATTACCGTCCGTATTATGAGCGGCGTTTCGCATTTTGCGACGATCGAATGAATATCGAATCGCCGTCAATTAGTGACATCGCGCGTATTTTGGGAACACGAGGCTCTGTTAAACGCCGTAAATAACTCGATACCGACGTATTTCGCTCCGTCGCGAAAATACGATGAAAAATTGCTCGCGCGGCAATGCTGACGAATGCACGTCGGACACGACACATTCGTATTATCGGTATGTATGTACAAGCTGCCCGACGACGCACATAAAACTCCCGTGTGCTTGTAGATCAGGTCGAATTGGATGAAAAATTCATCTGCCACTTTGCGAACAGTCATGTGAAATGTTGAGTTGGTCGTTAAAGATGATCGCGGCGAACGATCGTGATTATTCGTCGAACCTCTTTAGTTAATGATTCAAAATTTCACGTGCTTGTTTGCAGAATAGTGGAAACTATTTTCCCTTCAGTCTGACCTAATCTACATGTACACGAGAGTTCTACATGATCGTCAGACACCTATACATACACATTTATTTCGGGAAGAAACTTTACGAGAGGTATCGCGCGATTTATATTTCGCTGCTGTCTGAATTTAACGCCGCTCGCGTTATACTTCACGGGGCGCGTCGACTCGCGCTTTGTAATTCTTCTCGTGGAGAACGTACGATCGCATCGACGAGGGGATATCTCTGCACTCGGGAGTTCTCCTCGCGAGAAGCAGCCCGGGCGCTAGTCGAAAGTTAAAAAAGGATTTGGCCCGCTCACTTATGCATAACCCGAACGAAAAGCGCAACTTCGCGACGGGATGTACACGCCAGGACGCGCGTACGTGGCGGAAGGGAATGGAACTTATCGTCTCTGTCTTGCGCGCGTCCAAGGGGCTTCGTATATTATAGCCGGTGACGGGGATATATTCCGCGCTCGTCTCGGGACGAGGCACGCGCTCGTATCACCCTCTTCCGACACGAGTACGTATATTTAACATCTAATACGACGGCGAACACGCGAGAATTCACGCGAAAGCGGCTCCGAGACTGGAGAGAGAAAGGAGTAAGGGAGATTGAGGGTAAAAGAGAGAGAGAGAGAGAGGCAAAGAGAGAAGATACTCGTCGTACACGAATCCCACAGGACGGCTGCGTATCTTGGCGATGGCCGTCGAAATGGGAAATTCCATTTACACGAGAGTTTTTGACGTGGGAATAGTTCGCGTTCACAAACGCGTTATTCATCGCGGATTATCCGTTGAAAAATATGGACGGCCCGGTTGCCAGAGTCAAAGTAAATACCGATGGCGATGCACTCCCGATGGTTACCGTAAAGAGGAATGCAATAATTCGGCTTCGTTCGCGAACTCGTGTGAGGCTCATCGACAAACATTCCTTTGACGAGAAATACATTCTCCATATGTGTCTAATAACACTCTCACTGTACTCTTTTGCAGCGAGAGTGTTATCCCGATTAGAAATTCCCTTAATAGTCTTATTTCGGTTGATTCTAATCTGTTATTTGATTTGGTTATGTAATTGTTCTTTGAAAATTGCTTCAAATGAGGTAGTCATATTTTAGTTCAGAGTTAGATATGAGTTTCTCAGTGGGATCGCAAATACAGCGTTACGTACATTATAGGACTTGACTGAAAAATTCAAATCTAACTCTAAATTCAAATCTAAGTATCTCATCTGGAGCAAATTTCATGTAGCGATTATTGATACAAATCATCAATATTACATATATCATAATTTAAGACTAGAAAACTTTGGTCTAACTCTGAGTAATAATTTGAGTATCTCATATGAGATATTAATACAATTTACTAGTTTCAGATATTAATACAATTATTAATACGAGTTCCTGAAATATTAAATTTAAAAAATTGCTTTTTCCAGCTAAATTTACCGTGTTTCTTCGCGAGATGGACCTTACTAACAGTCTATTTCCACGCTATTAGAAATATAATATAAAATCGAGAAGAACTTATATAAAAAAAGGATTACAATATTTTTTCCGTGTGATTGGAATCAAACTGACCAGAAGCATAGGATAACTTTCGGGATTAGACATGCGGAGAGTATTTGTCCGGAACTATGTCATTTTCGCGCTGACCCAGGAACACAAGAACCACGCATGAACGGCGGTATCCGCTGTCTCTCGCACGAAGAGGGTATCGCACCCCCGACACGTATACCATCCTCCGAGAACCGCTCCGCGAACGCTGGGCGGAAGCATACACGGGGCTCGTATTACTCATCTAAAACAAGCGGCGGAACGAGGGAGCGCGTACCTTTTCCCCCGAGGCCACGTGCTACATCCGCCTTCACCCCCGACATTGTTCGCGACTCGGTTTCGTTCGATCTGATCCTCCCGCTGTGTACGCCGATCTCGCAACCCGCAGACGCGCGCAAGTCTCCCCGCGAACATCGTCCATGCGTCCTTCATCCTTCCCGGTCCAAACTAATTTCGGCAAATGGACCGACAGTCCGTGTTCCACCACGCCGCGTTACCGTCGTCGATGTTGCGCGACGTGGCGATCGATTCCCGTTACTTCGAGTAGTACTCATAAAGAAAAAGAGAGAAAGATTGTGTGTGTGTGATATTTAAGAGAAAGAGAGAAGTAAAAGACAGAAAGAAGAGAAATTTGCAGTCTGTAATTAAACAAAATAAAGAATCGCGCGGAATAAATCGACGATGGTCCGGCGGATGTGGTGAAAAGAGGAAGATCAGCATGAAGGAACGATAAAACGTAGAAAAGACGACGGGATTATTCCACAGTGGAGGGAACGCGAGAAGCGCGAGAGAAAGAGGGAGAGAAAGAGAGAGAAAGAGAGGGTCAGACAGGGGAGGAGGACAAGGGAGGAAATAGGAATGGGAGAAGATAGAGGGGGGACAAGTGTACATCGTAAATTCCCTTTGTCCGACCTCCTCGAGCGGACGACAACCCGCAGCGGCCCGCGGTTGTTTCCTCGAGCGCGATCTTCGCCGAGGCGGAAGTGGAGCTGAATGCCAAGACTAAGACAAATTTGTTTATTTGCGACGGGCAACAATGAGAGCCGGCAGCTCCGGCGGGAATTTGACGCGGACGGGGAAACGCGCAGCGCCTGGCGAAAGGACCTGGCGAGGAGGCGATCGTCGGTGTAACGCTTTCATCGCTCGTTTCACGACGAGCGTGAACGTTAGCGTGTTCTGATTTACCGGGACTCTTTCCTGAAGTTCATCGGACTGAGACTCCGAGAAATATTCAATGTTAGAACTACCAAAGCAGTCAAAGAGACGGAATTGTAATTCTTGTAAAAATCACACAAATTTGAAATTTTAATTGGCTTTTAATTGGCGTCGAGTAAAACTAGGAAAAATTAAGTTAATATATTCTTTTCCTTGCATCTTTTCAAAAAACCCTATTACTTCAACTACTCTGATAGAAGTGATTTCGTAAACTCGTTTCCAGGTTAATTTACGAGCAAACTGTCAACATCGCGAACAAATTTGCAAACAAATTCGCAAAAAATTAACTTTGACAGTAATATGCTTATTTTATATATTGAACATATACAGTCCAAAGCTTGATTTAAAATTTATTAAATCACTTATTACACAAGTTGTAACTACTGTCCTTTTGTTTTGATGGTTTTCACGCATAATTCTGAGAGAGAGAGAGTTCGTGGCAGTAAATTAAAGTGAAATTTACACTATATAGTACGTGTGAAAGGTGTTTGGTGTTGCTGTCAGGGCAAGAGAGATCAACCGTAGCATCGGCTGAAGCAGGCTGCCGTGAACTGCTGCGTCATTTGAAAGATGCATTATCGCGCAATCGTGACTAATTCATATTATTCGGACGGCGGGTTCGAGTTCAACGCGATCCCGCAGCGTGAGATTCGTTTTCGTGTGGTTTCCGCGCGCCGGGATCTGTTTCTTTTGACGCTCATGCACTCGGTGTCGTTTGCTTATTCAGGAGGAGGAGCTGCATCACAACGTCACCGCGGGTGTAGTGCTGTCGGACCACTCGTTAGTGCTGCAGAGCATAACTCGAGAGTCCGCCGGAGGGTACACCTGCATGGCCGCGAACGTCGAGGGCCGCGCCAAGTCCAACGTAGTCAATCTCGAGGTTATGTGTAAGTATATTTTACGCGCTTTTGCCCGACGGCGAGAGCGCGAACCCTCGTGAAAGCGTCGTCGCTTAATGGCTCGCCGGCACGGCGCGAGGCCCTCCGCGATGAAATTCTATGACGAGTCGAGTCTTCTCGTCGTCAGTTTCTCAATATTAAGCTATCGCCTCGAGCTCTCTCGTCCGAAGAGGAAGCAGCGCGAGGTCCCGAGTTGATTTAAAAATAAACGATCACTGAACGTTTACCAAACGAGCGCTTATTAATTGGAGGATTTTTAGGTAAAAAAATCCAGCTGCGGCGAAAATCGCACACATTCGATAGTTCTGCTGCTTCCCGATATTCAATCGAGCTCGCTAAAATTTCACGGGAAGAGATCTCGCGAGTTAACATTTAAAAAATATGCTAAACGAGCACTTATTAATCGGAGGATTTATGCTAGGGGATTTAGGTCAGAAATTACAGTTACTGCAAAATTCGCGACTGACGGTTTTCCTCGTTATTTTCCCGACATTAAGCTATCGCTTCAAGTTTGCCGAAATCCGACGAAAAAATAGCGAAAGGCCTCGAGCTGACATTTAAAAGATATACTAAACGAGCGCTTATTAATCGGAGGATTTATACTAGGAAATTTAGGTCAGACATTTCAGCTATGGTAAAAAATACGCGACCGACGGTTTCCTCGTTATTTTCCCGACATTAAGCTATCGTTTCGAGTTTGCAGAAATCCGATGAGAAGATAACGAGATACCTGGAGTTGACATTTAAAAGATATAAGACTAAACGAGCGCTCATTAATTAGGGGTTTTATATTAAGAAATTTAGGTCAAAAATTTGTAATTACTGCAAAACACGCAGACAGACGATTTTCCTCGTTATTTTCCCGATATTAATCCTTTGAGCCATATGTCTTATTTTTCAAGTTTTCAAGTGAAATTTCCTTAAATTTGGCATATGAAGAATTCCGGAGTCGCTAATTACATTTGAAAAAAATTATGACTATAAGGTTTTCAAATAAGCGATCTCGTTTTTAACATTACCCGGAAATAACGACCATTTTCTCAATATGAAAAAACAAATTTTTGCGTTTTTGACAAGAAACTTGAGAAACTTTTTGAGAGGAAATATATCAATGTTTTAATAGTTTACTATAAAAAGTAGGACTTACGGAGAATTTTGAAAAAATATGTAAAATATTGTTAGTTGTTTACAATAAACTGTTAATGCCGTACAAGCGCTCATTAATTGAGAGATCGGAGGATCAGACGAGAAATTTCAGGTGTGATAAGATGGACGCGAGATGGACGATTGCAATTTAGAGAATCCCCGGCTGCTTTCTCCGGTGCCGCCTCGAGGCTGACCATGTGGCGGACCGCTACTACTTGGGCGACGTCGCCGATATTTTACAGCGTATTCGCGCGTCGCATAAATCCTCGCGCTCGGTTTTGCAGTATCGGAAAGTATAAATAAAACGGTTGGTTACATCGGCAGGGACCCGCGGACAGTTATCGATCCTTTATCCGCGTCCCGTGTACCACCCACGGTGTGTACAACGTATAACGCTTATGCAAAGGAGAATCGAGGCAAATCCGGATCCTTTGTCCGACGTGGTGTCCAGCAGTGTTTTACAACGTCGGGATATTTTCCGAAAATTTAGCGACGCTGCGCTGGAAATGGACGACGACGGCGACGCAGCTTCACACCGACGCGGCGGAATGTTATTGCGTGTGTACACACAGAGTAGAGTAGGTTCTTGCCGACTCAACGCTCGCTTCAAAGAGAGCCGCGAAAGAACACGGGAATGCCAAATGTTCCGCTCAAGCAGAACCTTCACCCTTGGCGCCTCGCGAAAGTCCGCAATTACGTACGTTCTCGTTCCGCGCACAGTAATAGAGACACATCGTTTTAATGAACTGCGCGTAAACCGTTCCACGTAGCTGCATATTTCGCCAGCGCGATGTAATTATTAATTAAATCATCTATTAAATCGCGAACCAATCCCGCTGTGCCGTGGGTGCGCGTGAGTGTGTGTGCGTGTGTGTGTCTACACAACGGTAACTTATTTTGCACGTATTTTGGTCAACAAAACACGCATGACTCACATTGTTCGCTACATTATGCCAAATTCAATACGGTGCGTACAAACACTGTCCTTTAATTAATAGTGAACGTTTAGTTACCGTCGCGTTTGGTTATTGTAATGTCCGACATAAAAAAGTGGATAATTTTCCCGCGAAAAAATACACTCGCACCTCGGCCTTTCCAAGGTAATTTCATAATTTAACTTTCATAATCTAATCTTTCAAGCGTTGCAGTTGAATCTCTTCGTGCGAACTTAAAGTGAGAAACATTAGACAGTTCGCGCGAATCTTATAGTAAGAGTTACTGTAGAATTTTATAACCGAGGAATAGATCGACATTCTGCAGTAATTGATTTTTTGTTTCATATATGCTGTTTATATTTCAGCTCATACTGAGGCCCGTATTACTAGTTATTATTTAAAACTCATCTCAAATGAGACATTCAGATCTAAGTTCAAAGTTAGGTGAATTTTTTAATTAAATTGCGATTATAGATGTAAACATTACATATATCATAGGCCAGTATTAATAACCGTCACTTGAAATGTGTCTCATCTAAGATACTAAAATTTTTATTCAGTATTAGATCCAAATTTTCCAATTGAATTACGATACATGTGATATTTATATTTATAATCGCAATTTAATTGAAAAGCTCTCATTTAACTCTAAATCTGAGTATCTGAGTAACTAAAGCAAGTTTCAAACAACAACTATTAATACAAGTCGTAATTCAACTGAGAAACTGGAATCTAATCCTGAACAAAAATTTGAGTATCTCACATGAGATGAGTTTCATGTGGCAACTATTAATACGGGTTTAAAAAATATTATTAAAAAACGTACTATGTTTTCTTAGCGAAATTTGCACATGCCTTAGCATGATAGACTTCGTTGACGGTCTACTTCTGCGCTACTAAAAACTATCAGAGATATAGTAAAATCGAAAAGAATTTCTATAAAAAAGAACTCTGATATCCGCGAACATTTCAGTATCAGCTGGGTACTCACGTGGCCGTGTAAAAATATTTAACTTCCTGTTTTTTGCTCCACCCTCGGCCGATTGTATCTCCGATTGCGTATCTCTCTCACGCGAATTTCCCGCTCGCAACGAAGGACTAATTTATATCGTTATGCCGCAGTCGCGCCCGTTTGCAAGCACGTGCTCAACTCTGGCGGCTGGCGACACCAAAATGCCACCCCGCCCCCGTACAACGTGCCTGAAGAGGTGCACGGCGCCCTCAAGCACGAGACCATAAGTCTGGTCTGCGAGGTCGAGGCCAGCCCTACCACAGTGACCTTCCATTGGACCTTCAACAGCAGCGGCGACCTCAACGACGTTCCGTCCACCAAATACACCAGCCAAGGCACTATCAGCAGGCTTAACTACACCCCGTCCACTGATATGGATTACGGGGTCCTAGGCTGCTGGGCCAGCAACTCGGTCGGCCATTCCAAGCAACCCTGCCTATACCAGGTCATCTCCGCAGGTTCGTGCGAGTTTAGCCCGTACTTTCTTCTCACGACATCAGACTTAACCCTTAACCTGCTTTCCTAAATCTGTCGCGATATATAACTAAAGCCATAAAGATTGACACACTTTCTCTCGATATATTTCGGAAAGCAAACCTCAAATGCAATGAAAACATTACAGGAGAATATTTATCTCTCCAGTGGTGATTTAAAATGATTCATCTCTAGAGTGAGGTTTTTCTTTAAATAAGTACATATTTAGATTTCTTTTCTCTTTACTATTCTTTTTACAAAATTTTCAAAAATGGAATACAAAATAAATCTAATTTTTATTTGCTAATAAATTAAGGAACAGTGCAGTATTGAATTTGATTAATATTTAATTTATTAATATTTGATTTAATTAATATTTTATTTATAAATATTTAATTAGTTTAATTAATAAATCAGGAGTAATATTAATATTAGTATTTTAATATTTTACCACAAAATTTTTCCAGACATATCGTGAGGGATTAATCCTTTCAACATGACAGGTCAAAATCTTCTATTTATCCGTTAAAGATGTAGCGAAATATTTTGTGAAATTTTCTCTGCACAAAAAAAAAAGATTTTAGTAAAAGTTACGTTAAATTTATGTTTCTTGTTACAGAATTTTTTGCATAACTTTTTGCAGCATTTCTGTTTTTAACAAAAATAGTAAATTTGATGATCTATCTGGTATATGATATTATCTGATATATGATATAAAAAACGTATATAACATTTTTAAATATTTAATTTAATTGAATATTTAACTGATTGTTTTAAATATTAAATTTTTAAACATTTTTAACAATTCTTACTATAATATTTTCTCCGTGTAACCTGTTAACGATCTATCAATACAGATCCGCAGTGAGAAATAAGTGTGTCAACTTTTATGGCCCCAATTGTGCATTCAACCTCGGGGCAAATGGCGCGACACACACAACCTCGGATCAATCACGGCGACGAAAACCGATTACTTATCGCGACTCGGTCGAAAAATCGTCTCCGCTTTTACACACCCCGAATTTTCTACGTCGAAGCGTACACGGTTCGTCCCAGAGTTCGTTTGCGTATAACCGGAAATGCTATTAAACTGACGACACGTGTAAAAAAAAGACTGTAACAAAACAGATTTCGTAAACTATCGGTTGTCGGTGTACAGCAAATATTAAACTTGCAGTACGGTTTTAGTTTCTCTTCGAAAAAGAAACAAAAATTGTGTTTTGTGCTGTGAACACCCTCTGAAAATAATTGCACATGTGTTTCGCAGCGCACCGATCCTGTTAATTCACCGTGGACGTATGTACACGCCCGTAACATCTAAATTCCAGCCGATACAAAAATACGTAAAACACGTGTTTGCATAATCAAAGAATTCTCTTCGCAGCGTCGAGGCACGGGACTACTACTTTCCACAAGCGTTTTATCTTCTTTTCTTTTATAAAATAAAATTTAATAATAGACACAAGAGGATCATTCACATCAGTCTCTCTCTCTCTCTCTCTCTCTCTCTCTCTCTCTCTCTCTCTCTCTCTCTC